CGTAATTTGGGTGGCATTTTATTTCGTATTTTTAAATCATCTTTTTATTTTGGACAATATCTGTAAATTTAGTTTCCTGCTCTTAATTGACCAGCCTATATTGTGTATGTATGTGACGTCACTGAAGGCCTAAGGTTGAAATGCACGGCCCCCCACTGGGTGCATCCAATGATCTCTTAGAACGCAGTACGTGCTGTTGCTGCGTTTTAGGTATTATTGGATTAGATAACGCTGCATAATTCCTCAAACATTTTAATTGACCCTTCTGGGGATGACGGTCACCACAGTGGACAGATTCAAAAATTATTCTCTCCTGCATGAATGAACCTTAAAGTCCATAAAAATCTAGTCGTTAGCTTATTTTTTTCCCCCCCTCGAGGTGGATCTTTCCTCTCTACTTTTGGCAAAGGTGCCAAAGCGAACAGGTCAGCACAAGGCTGCGTGGGGGTGCTGGTGACTAGCTCTGAATGCGTCCAAGAGATGATTGACACTTTGTCAGTTATGCCTTCTGTCTCTGAGTGGTGGGTTTTTTTCTGACCTTGAGGTTGTTTTTTTTGTGGTGGGGGGGGGGGGGGGGGGGATTCCATTCATGTAGCAGAGAGTAACTTGTGACTATCTGTCCACTGTGTGGTGACCGCCGTCCCGGAAAGGATTAATTTAGTCACATTTATTGGGCAAACAAGGTTGATTTGCATATGTTTTGAGCCTGATTCACATTGCCCTTAACTGGCTTATTATGGTTCAGTCACATGTTGAATGAGAAAACCACCTCTAGCCTCCTCAACCATGTAATAGTGTAAAATTTATTTATTTCATGGCATTAATATAATGTATGTGACCAACACGCTATCAAAATAATAAACATATAAACAATATATTTTACAGGAAGAAAGCATCAGCAGCGGCACTACCACTTCAGAGATGACAACGAGAAGTGGAATTCAAAAACGGAGTGCTGGTACCACTCAAACTACTAGAGACACAGATGTTGCTGACTAATTTTCACTCATGGCTAAGTCACTTGTGTGGTACCAGCAGTCCAGCATCTGCATTATAATGTACTGTAGCAGGCTGAAACTGGGTCATATTACACCTTAAAATCAATTCCTTCCATGGCCTCATGAACCGGTTCCTTGGATCTAAATAACGTCAATTTCCGACTATATTGCGGCCCAGGAAGACGGTAGCAGGCCAGCACTGGATCCCAATTTATAATGCACCCTAAAAGTGAGCCAGCCGGACATTTACCCCGAGGTTACAGGTTCTGACAGCACTGTAGCTTACTCCCCTTCTGACCGTCTGTGGTCGGGGGAACGCTGATGTCCACCACATTATTCCCGGGAGACTCGTCATGGGCCGACCGCTCTGCGATCTGCTTCTGCGATACGATGCGGTAGATTTCTGTGTTTGAAGAGCAAAAATCACATCAGCATCAATTCTAAAATTTCTCTGCAAAAAGGTTGTTTATCGTGGTACAGTTTTGTGTATGTTTACTGGTTGAACAACCATCAGAGTACCACATTTAAAAGCATGCAGCAGATGGAACAATATGATACATACGCAAACCTAGTCAAAAAACGAGGTCCAGTGTTCCCTTGAACTTGGCCATTGACATGCTGAGTGAAATTCAAATGACTCTGTGAAATTCATTCAATAGCGAAGGAAGTTACAAAGTCACTGAAATCAGTCAAAAAATGGCCATTCATATCAGGAGTATGATATATTAAAAATACAATACACATAAGGGGTTCGACCACCAACTCTAGAAGTAAACAATTCGCTCTCCGTACAGAGAAACAGTTGACATTAGTAAACACAGTGATGCTGATACAAAATAAAAAAGTGTCTCCAAAATCACAACACATTTCCTCTTTAACGTACATTTAGCCTCGGGAATCATTCGGACTGCCGTGAAGCCATCATTTGACAGTTAGCAGTTTTTGCAAGCATATCATCCCCTTGCGCTCGCCACTTGACATCGGAGGAGCATTGCAAAATTGCCACCCGTCAAGAGGTTTTTCAGTCCCCCGACTGAAGTTCAGTGGCGCTTTGCGAAATGTATGTCAGAAGTGTTACCGGTCATGTGAGAGAGAAGATCCAGTCAGCCCAGCGCTAGACATTGCACACCAAACTGTAGGAGACTGGACTATTTCAGAATTGTCTATTTTATTTATTCCTTTGTTATGTGTTCACAAACACCCCCATATAATTTATTTTGTGATTTCCTCGGTGGATTTTCTGTTCAGGTGCATTATTTTCGATTTTCTTAGTGTCATTTAAGTTATCGTTAATTTACATTTTTCTGAGGCGGCCTCTCGAGTCGAATGGCACAAGAGAAGGCATGTAGTTTCTTTGAGAGTGTTAACAGAATTAATAAAGTGGACGTTTTAAAAAACCAACACTACAGCTCTCTTTGTTTCGGAGCTGCAACAAAACTACCAGCTTTGGAGAGTTTTTCTATGGGGGTTGATTTTCCCCAAACTCGACAGTTGTCGCTTTCGCTGATCGTAAAGTGGAAAGATACTCGTCGCTGCCCCTTGTGGAAGTTCAGCATCATCATCTTAAAGTAAAGCTCTGTCACTCTTCGACGCATCCTCTGAATCAAGCATTTGCCGATGCCGAGTTCCATTGCAGCTCTCTGGATAGACTTTCCCTGGCTTTGCGCAATCATCTGTGAAAGGAGTTCTTTAATGGTAGTATGAGTAGTAGGAGTAGCTCTTCCGCTGCGTGCTTTGTCAAGAACCGTTCATGTTTTGAGAAACTTGCCGTGGATCTGTATGTGTTGCAACAGTGTCACAGCGATCAAGCTCTTCATACTGGACCGAAACTGTACTTGGGGGCAGAAAAACATCTTGCCAATTGACGGCAAGGAAATGAAATGCTTAGAAAAAAACCCTGAGCCGAAGCTATCAAATGCACATGGCCTCACATCTGTCGAGATGAGACCTAAAATGAAAATTTCAAAAAAGGTGTAGAATGCTTGTCATACCTGTAAGGATATTCTTGAAGGCCTCTTCAACATTTGTTGAGTCCAAGGCTGAAGTTTCGATGAATGACAGGTTGTTTTTCTCTGTTGCGTGAAGAGAAAACACACAATGTACACTAATACTGTTAGGCTTCTGAAAACAAAAAAACCTTCAATAGTTAATGTGTTATCTTATGATTCCATAACAAAGAAGTTAGAGAGCTGGTCTACAACAAATTCTGCCCAAACAATAAATACTTCAGCTCGGGGAGTTATGTTTTTTTTTGGAACTCACATTTGCACGACTGTCCGTGTTTTATGTTATGTGTTGTGTTTATTATTTTACTTTTTGTGAACTGTTTTGTTAAGCACTTTGTTCTAGCAGCAGCTGTTGTGAAAGCGCTATATAAATCAGGAAGTATTGTATTGTAATGTATTTTGGGAAGAGTTTGTCTACTTCCTTACCATGTAAAGCAGGGGTGTCAAACTAATTTTTGTCGGGCCTGATTTTAGTTACAGTTTCCCTTGGAGGGCCATTATGACTGAAACCATATAAAGAAGTCAGGAATAACAGTGCATTCTCCTATTGTTTAAGTTACTGTAATGAGGGGTTTGCTAACAATAAAATGCTGACAGTATCACTCTATTTTCTTAGAAATGAGAATTTGAAATTTTGGTACAGATTTTAGCAAGCATCATGAAAGTTGACATCTTTGATTTGCTTTCGTAGGCCACATCAAATGATGTGGTGGGCCGGATCTGGCCCCCGGGCCTTGAGTTTGACACCTGTACTGTAAAGGTAAATAACTTGCAGTCTAATAAATTAGTGATTCCCAACCTCTGTGCCGCAGTGGGACCATCAGGTGTGCGGCGGGAAATGATCCAATCTCACTTGACCGGTCCAAAATGTATTCTTTATCCACTACAACTTTCACCTACCAACAACGTGTAATTTCAGGCAATACAACTGAATGCTCTTGCACAAGATGGGAGAAGTGAGTAAATTAGGCCAAGATCATTATTTCAGGATGGATATGCTTGTGTGGGACAAACTTTTTCTCATGTATAAACCTGATTCCAATGAAGTTGGGAAGTTGTGTTAGAAATAAATAAAAACAATACAATGATTTGCAAACCATACTCACTTCAGAAACAAGCTATTTAACGTTCAAACTCATAAACTTGATTGCTTTTAGCAAATAATCATGAACTTAGAATTTCATGGCTTCCAGAAAAGATGGGTTAGACCAGTGGTTCTCAATTATTTTCTGTCATGCCCCCCCAAAGAAGAGGAAAACATTTTGCGCCCCCCCCCGCAAGACCATAAATAGTATAATTTGTCTATAAAATTGTTAGATGTACACCTTTGCATAACACTGTATTCTTATCAACGTATAACAGAATAAAAAAAAACAAAAGAAATATGGACCAATTTACCACAAAGCATAGTTTTAGTAACTAACAGAAAAGATTTAAAGTGCATCTGAAATTAAATCCTTAATTTAACTATAAATATTTTTGACTGATCATGTCAAACTAATCACCAAAATTATCTCAGGAGCACAATATTTTAAAAAACTTTAACTAGCAAAACAAAAATACATAAAATAATTTGTGCGTCTTCGCTTTCGGGAGACTTTTTTCGGGTTTGTCTCTTATCTCCGTCTCTCTCCGCCTGTCGACTTAGTGTCTACTCATACTCTGTGCTGTGTGCAAAGCGGGCATCCTCAGTGCAAACAAAACACCGAGCGAATGATCCCTCTGCACACTCTGCCAATGAGAGAGCCACTGCCCCCTAGTGTAGTGAAGGTGCAATTGCACTTATTTTTGGACAGTAAAAAAATAAAAATAAAAAAGCATGTTCCCCGAGGTCAAACGCGCCCCCCTTGATGGAGGCTCGCGCCCCCCACTATTTGAGAAACAGTGGGTTTAGACAGACAGACGTGGAAAAACAGAATGAGAAAACTGAGTAGTGCTCATCAAACACCTGCTCGGAACATCCCACAGATGAACGGGCTAACTGAGAACAGGTGGGTGTCATGAGTGGGTTTCAAGAGAGCTTCCCCAAATTGCTCAGTCATTCACAAGCAAAGGTGGGTTGAGGTTCCCCTTTTTGTCAACAAGTGCATGAAAAACAGTTGATGGACAATGTTCCTCAATGTATACTTGCAAGGAATTGTGGGATTTCATAATACAGTAGATGGTCCATATCATCAAAGGGGCCAGAGAATCTGGAGAATCTACTGCATGGAAGCGGCAAGGCCAAAAAACAATAGTGAATGCCGGTGACCTTCTATCCCTCAGGCGGCGCTGCATCAAAAGTGTGTGTTAAGGATATCACCACCTTGGCTCAGGAATTCTTCAGAAAATCCATGTCAGTCAATACAGTTGGGGCTACATCCAAATGTGCAAGTTCCATCTCAACTCTGCAAAGCAGCGAGAAATGTCGCCGGCTTCTCTGGGCCGAGCTCATCTAAGATGGGCTGACTCAAAGTGGAAAAGTGTTCTCTGGTCTGACGAGTCCACATTTCAAATTGTTTTGGGGAAAAAATGGATGTCGTGTCCCCCCGGGCCGAAAAGGAAAAGAATCATCTGGACTAGTTTTGGATGCAAAGTTCAAAAGCCAGCATCTTTGATGGTATGGGGCTGTTAGGACCTCTGAAGTCACCCTTCATGCTGAAAGGTACATAGAGGTTTTGCCGCCTTCTAAGGAATGTCTTTTTCATGGACACCACTGCTTATTTCGACAAGACAATGCCAGAGCACATTTTGCACGTGTTACAACAGCGTGACTTTGTAGTCAAAGAGTGCAGCTACGAGACTGGCCTGGCAGGCCAGACTTGTCTCCTCTTTGAAAAAAATATGTGGTTTATAGCTTAAATGACAGAATTTCATCTCCGATTCGCTTGCCGGATAGACTTCTATTTACTTAATTGTTCGCTGCTAAATATGCGGCTCCATTTCTTGCCCGCAGAGCTAATGGATGCGACATGCTGAATCGGACAATGCCGAGCGGCTTGAATGTGTTGGCCACATCTCACCCAGGCTCAGGGAGACGAGTGACTGTGTTACAACTTGACACAGACGAGGTTTCAGTTTCCAATCCCTCGGAGAAGGCGAATTAAGTGCGGATACATTTTTGTTGAATTTCTGTACCTGCAAAGGCACGGGCCTCATCTGTGGGAACGGCCCTGAGGTGGCGTAGGTCGCTCTTGTTGCCCACCAGCATGATGACGATGTTGTTGTCAGCGTGGTCCCTCAGCTCCTTCAGCCAACGCTCCACATTCTCGTAAGTCAGGTGCTTGGCTATATCGTACACCAGGAGTGCACCCACGGCTCCTCTGTAGTATCTGTGAAAGACAATGCGTGCTAGTCAGGAATGGATCATGTTAAATGGTATATTAAACTTGGACACTGGAAGTTCAACACAACAGTTCATGACAAAGAACTCTCTGCCTGAATCAAGATGGACTCACGCCGAGGTGATGGCTCTGTAGCGCTCCTGTCCCGCGGTGTCCCAGATCTGCGCCTTTATCGTCTTGCCATCCACCTGAATGCTACGCGTTGCAAACTCCACACCGATAGTGCTTTTGCTCTCCAGGTTGAACTCATTTCGTGTGAATCGAGAGAGCAGGTTGCTCTTACCAACACCCGAGTCCCCAATCAACACGACTGGAGAAAAGAGAAAAACCATAGACAAACATCAACGTGTGTATCGACAAATGGATTTTCTGCTTCTGGCTCTCAACAAAGGCCAGTGTTTTTTTTTCTTCTCCCTCCCTGTCTCATCTGCCCAGCTTGCTGACTCTGGCTTGTGTTGTCTTTTGTCTAAACTATCAACCAGAGCCTCTTGTTACATTTCTCTCCATAATCTAAACATCATGGAAATGATCAGCTGCTCTCTCATTGTGAATTGTTTTTGCCGTTTTGTGGGAGTCCTCCATGCATTTTTCTTATCTTCTCGTGAATGGGCATTTACTTGTATAGGGCTTTCCCACCTACAAGGCGATCAAAGCTATTCACACTGACTCCTCATTCACCTTCTGGAGATGCTGGGGGCTCAGTCTCCTGCTCAAGGACACTTCGACATTGTTAGAGGGTCAGGCGTCTAACCCACAACCTCTGATTTGGGAGACGACCGCTGTACCACTGAGCCATGCCCCCCTTAGCATATTGTTGTTTTCTGTGCATGGTATGAATCTTTATGACTAAAGATTGCTACAGTCTTCCAGAGCAAGTTTATTTTTGTACTCTGGGACCCATGCACACGTGTGAAGACTGCATGGCCTCGACTGTGTTGCTGCTCTACAGGGCCATATTGTCTGGCAACAGAAACAGAAAGGCGAGCCGAAAGTCCGCTGTAAACTAGCCGATCGGAAGACGGGACACCAAAAACAGGTGGTTTGTGTTTCGTCGACTTCAAGTGCTAAACCTCGACTGATCGATTCCACCTCTAATGGATAGCTAGATGGGCAGACATAGACACAAAACAACGAAGTACGTACAAACAAATAAAACAGCAGCAATGATGAGGAATCCATACATCCATCCATTTCCTGATCCGCTTATCCTCACAAGGGTCGTGGGGCGTGCTGGAGCCTATTCCAGCTGTCTTCGGGAAGTTGGCGGGGGACACCCTGAATTGGTCACCAGCCAATCACAGGGCACACATAGACAAACAACCCACACTCACACCAAGGGACAGTTTTGAGTGTCCCATTAATGTGGGGGTGAACCAGAGTACCCGGAGAAAACCCACGCAGGCACGGGGAGAACATGCAAACTCCACATAGGAAGGCCGCAGCCAGAATCAAACCCTGCACTAATGCACTGTGAGGCCGGCATGCTAATCAGTTGACCATCAGGCCGCCCGTTGTTGAGGAATTTTGGGGGATTTAAATATTTTCGAAACAAGTCCCAAAGACACTGAAAACTGAACATTTTTCTTTTTGATAAATAATAAATGTCCGATATGTATTATTATTACGAAAACACTAACGACATACTATGACATAAAAATTAATCAGATGTGTTGCGAAAGCACCAAGTGGGGTTTTGCAGGGCCTCCATATATACAGTTCAGAGTGGGGAATAGAGTCTTGTTCCTGAAAGAAGTGAGGATCAGAGACAGTCCGAGAAGCTGAGTCAGGCTTGGGGTGTGGGGGCAGGGGGCTTGCATGTACAACACAGCAGCAGAAGTGGAGCCTTTGTATTTTCTCTCCTCCCCTACAAAGGAAATGGAGCCGGACTTTGTCCCTGCTGACACCATCCTGGTCCATGTTGCAGGAAGCCGATAACAGGCTCCACCAAAACCTGAATCGACAGTTTTGGGCTGCCTTGCTCTTCCTGTTTCTGCGCGGCTCAGTACGATGGCTTGGCCAGACAGGGAGAGGGAGAGAGGGGGGCTCTCGTCTCCGGCAGATGCACTATTCATCCCACAGAGGAGACTTTGTTACTTCTAAATAGCCCTTTGGCAACTCCCAGGATGTTAATGTGCCACAGAAGCTGATATGAGGATCAAAGAGGTACAGTATTTTGGATCCAGCTGAGCTCAGAAGATGAACAGCAGATCCATCGGCATGCAGAATACATTAGATCCAGAGGCTCTTTGTGTCAGTAACATCGGCCTGAAGACCAGCCTCGTCTGAGATGGAGGTCTTTTGGTGAGAACAGGCCAGTCCAAGGCATAAGCGCCGCTTGCTTAAGGCCTCCGTGAATACTAGGGGGAGCAGTTAGCGCACTACAGAGGGTAAAGGCTGTCGCAACAACGAAAATCTGCCAGAAATTCACCACCCCAGCCCAAAAAAATTTTTTTTAAATTCAAATTACCTGTAGATGCCACAAGATTCTGGAAACCCACTCCTTTTGTTTTAAGTGACTATAGTCTTTCGTCATTTCTTAGCATAGAGATGCCAGTTACATTATTATTCAATATTACTCTTATTTATTTGACTGAATACTCTGTTTTTGTACATTTTAAGTGATGTTTCAATAGCTAAAATCCCTGGTGAGCTATTTTTCGAACAGTCGCGCAGGTTTCTACTTGTTGGTACAAGGTGACCTATGTAATTTTATTTCCTCTTGCGTTTTGTTGTTGTTGTTGTTATTGCTGTTGCAATTTTTTTTAGGGGGGGGTGCAAAATGAAATGCTGTATCCCTGCAACTGTAAATTAACCCCAGTCCACTCTTGCAGAGGACTTCTGTTGAAATTCAACAATAAATGAGGAATAGTCGCTATAATTGGCAAAAAACAAAGGCCCCTAAATCACATTTTGTTAGAGCCCCATGGAGGCTTGAGTCGAGTCTGGTCAATGGTTCTTGTGGGCACTCTTTTAAGGGTATAACACAAAACTTCAATAGCCCTACAAACACACAGGGTGCTGCACCCTACTTAAAAACATAGCTGCAGGGTTTGGAGGGTTGCAACGACAGCGTTTTTGTTTTAAAATCATCATTGTTGCCTTACATAAACACAGGCCTAAATATTTGGAGGATTGTCACCTAATCGCCATAACCGACGCAACAACAGGCTAAAACGCTTTTTCAAAGCGATGTCTGTATGACCCGGTAAAAAAAGAGAAATAAGATTATCTTCTCTCTCTCTCTCTCTCTCTCTCTCTCTCTCTCTCTCTCTCTCTCTCTCTCTCTCTCTCTCTCTCTCTCTCTCTCTCCTTTACCTTTGAACAAAAAATCGTATTCATCGTCTCGGTTCCCCATTCTAGACGAGGCCACTCCGACGTTTGTCTCTCGGAGGATGATGCGTATGGGAGGGAAAGACGGGTTCAAAAGAACCTAAAAAAATATGCTAACGGCTCGTGGTGGCACTGAAATGCGCCAATGCTTGCTGTCAGAGCTGTAGGAAGGAGGTACAACAGCTCCCAACTCTGCAGAGGGAGGAGTCCCTGCACTGTGAATATTTTCCTCCAGGAGGCGTGCCTCTCGATGACATGCCGATGCTGTTTCAGACCGCAAACAATGGAGGGGGAAGTTTCTAATTTATGTTCCACAAACAAAAATATTTCAAAGGTCACGAAAAGATGTTGCTGATAGGACTCAACGTTTGTTTCTGGAGGTTTGGTTAAGTCTCTTCACTGAATATTAATGTTCTTTGTTATTGCTTGGTGCCGTGTTACTTCTGAGTGTTTTTTGTTTACATTATGAAGTGACTTGACATTTTATCAATAAACAGTTAAATGTAATACTGTACTGCAAATCACTTTATATTTGTGTAACACAGTGTTGCTGATTTGAATTAATTTTCAAGTCTAGTACTTTTTGTAAAAAAAAAGTATCATCTGCTATATTTGATCATGCTTCTTTTAACATTATAGTGTGCCCTTTAAATCTCTTGCACTGTATTTTGCTACTGTTGATATTAGAAATTGTACAGTTAAAAAAAGATCACAAATCTTAAATTTGTTACAGTTGTATTTTTGCCAATATTTGTGTTATAAAATATGTTCTGTTCTATCATTGTGATATTTTGTTAAATGTTCTGGAAAGCGTTTTGTTACAGCTGCAACTGTCGTGAAAGCTCTATATAAATAAAGAGGTGTAATACTGTATTAAAATTGTATGTTATTGTTGATAATGATGATGGCGACGACGACGACGATGATGATAAAATTGTAATTTTAGGCTTTTTTAACCGTAAATTTAAAATGACTGGCGCAATTACGCTTGGTGAACGATTTTGACATTCGTAAAGTGGTTCCCCTTTCAAAAACACGATGACAACTGGCTGCGCCCCTCAAGCGCCTTGCTCTCCTCCTACAGTGAAATTCCTCTACAACAAAATCATGTTTGCAGCAAGAAGTTTTTCACAACAGGGGGTTTTTCACTGTAGTAAATTTGATCTCAGATATAAGCACACACACACACACACACACACACACACACACACACACACACACACGCACACACAGCGTTGCTCAGCTCATATCATGCAATGAACTTTTAAGCCAGCCACGGGACGCTTCGTAGTCCTCGATGGCCATAGTTAGCGTGATGAAACTCGCCTTCTCTCTAATTAGCGCTCCAGTTAGCGTAAGGTTTTTAGCATGATAACAAGTAAAGCATTCCAGGAAACGTTCGTTGATTTGTCTGTCCGTCGAGCCACAAGCAATTTACTCTTGAGCAGCTAGTTGGACGCATTCCACTCTATCTTCCACGGATCTAGCTACATTATCTACACACATAGACAGTGAAGTCCCTCTTGGCCAATCAGAGGCCAGGATGATGCTCGGTAAGCCAATGGCAGAGCAGCTATG